GCTGTGACGTAACTGAAGCCTGCGCGGTTCACCACAGGCCTGCTGGATTAAGAGGTTGCAGACGTGGGGCCAGAAGCTTGTGTCTGAACGCTCTGTCCTCCCCTCGCTGCCAAAATGTTCCCCAGCAGCCTTGGTGGCGGCGCTCCAGACCTCCTGCTGCTCCTCTCTTTGTTGGTGGTGGACTCACACTGCGGGGCCCCTATTGGGTTTTCAGTCTGACCCCGCAAAGGCCTGCATGCAGGGGATTGATGCCACTGGGTCTAGGACTTCACCCGGGACCAGTTAAAAGGCTTAAAGTGGTTTCCACTGTCGCTCAGAGCTGCTCTCTGTAACGCTGAGAGGTCGTGACCTCGCTGTGACGCGACCGACGCTGCGATCTGAGCTTTACAAATAAAATGAATTTCCTGTAGACGTGTTTGCTGCGTTCACTGACCTCCACTCTGTCAGGAGACGAGGCCGCCTCAGCCGGCACGTCGGACGCCTCCTCCTCCTCCAGGGTTGCTCGCTTGTAGCTGGACATCTGCAGAGAGAGAGGCAGGCAGTCAGAGATGTGCACGCTGACGCATAAATGAGAAAAACAGCCGAGAAAATTGAATCTGCGGGGCGGAAACACAGAGCAGAGCTTCTGGAAACGCTGCCAAATGATCATCAACCTTTATTAAAACAGAGCCTCTCGGCCTGGCTCGGCTGCTGCAGCAGCGACGTCTGACAGGGTTACAGCTGACCTGCAGTCACGCTGCACACAGACGTGAACCGAGCATAACTGTGACAAACATGTTTGTCCCTGGAGCCTGTCTTTGGCTTTCATCACAAATGTAAGAGGAACCTGTCGAACCAACAGGTGAACACACAGAAAACAGATTCAGCGAATCACACGTGTGTCCACGCTACACCCACAGGTCAAACCTGTAAACTCAGTTTCTACACTAAGATCACTAAAAGACTGATTTATTTGACTTAATCTGAACAAAAACAGCTGATGTCCTGATGCACGCTCAATCATCCAGGTAAGGAAACCCCAAAAGTCAAAGGAGCTTGCAAAGAAAAGAGTCTGGACTCATCCGAGAAGCTTCTTCAGTTCTGACCACGATGACCTGGATGACTGAGAACCTTCACAGACATAAATCCCAAAAGGTTGATTCTGTTCATCTGTTCGCCCTGAAACCAGCAGCACTGAGTGAAAGGAGGGAAAGACCATCTCTGAATGGAGGAGGGGGCCTAAGGGT